TATAACCTATGTTTCAAAAGAGGACTTCCTTACAGCGTTTTGTGAAGCACATAACACTGCTATGACGCCAGGAAATATTTGAGCAGGTTTTAATGCCACTGGGTTTGTTTCTTTTGACCCAGAAAGTGTCATTTCAAAGCTGGATACTGTCGCTGTCATACGAACACCGTCCTCAGACCCCAATCTGCCACCTATTACTTGGACTTCCAAGATGCCTATCACTATTAATAAAACGGTAAACCAATCAGTTTATATCTGGAATCGAGTCAGAAATTACTAAGAAAGCTCACCTATATCAATAATTGATGCGTTAAGCTCGTTTTCAAAGGCTATACATGGTTTAATGCATAAGGTCACTTTGGTTAATTCTAAGGTCTGTGAGCTAGAGGAGGCCAGTCACTTACTAAATAAATACCAGAGAACAAAAAACAAATATCTAATAAAAAGAGGAATACGTTCTGTTAAAGATATAATAGGTCTTTAGGCTACAAAGGATAATACTGAACTAGTAAGATAAGAAATAGGTAAAGGTAGTCATCATCTAAAGAGAGCAGCAGCGCGTGAGCGACGGTGTGATGTTTGCAGCAACACTGGCCATAATGCGCGAACTTGTACAATAGAGATAGAAACCTCTCAAGAAGAGGAATCCGATTGAGTAGATTGAATTCAATGCGTTGTGATTAAGTTATTTGACATATTGATTAGAAGGTTAGTGAAAGTATCCCGCTCACTCGTATGTCCCACTCGCTTGTGGCCTACGTTATATATTATTCGATATAAAGATTATTATGAAAAAGATTGTCAGATGTTGGATCCCAGATATGGTGCCCTTAGGTGCAGTACCCACTAAGGGGCTGTCAAGGGAAGAGTGGATCCACCCTGGCATAGCGCAGTATGGTATTTAGTTGTAGATTAGGCCTGCCGAGCATACTTGAGAATGACAACAACATTTGCAGCGACCGCTAACACCCTAAAGGCTTGTGACCCTTCTAGAATCCCATAAAGATTAATATAAAATACAAATAAAATACAAAGTAAACCTACTTTATTTTCGATGCTTTAATACCTAACCGATCGTAATAAAAACCCCGTTTAACGCGTATAAAACGGCTATTTTTTCCTATTTTTTATATAATTACTATTTAAAATATTATTATAACTATATCTTTTATTACTATCTTTTATAAAACGATTAAGCGATAACTTAACTTAAAATCTTAGCGTGAATTTACTAGCTCGTATTTACTCGAACTACATATTACGTACGCTTCGTTAATTAATATACCGAATATCTTTTATTCATGAATCCGGCAGATTAAAACGAAAAAAAAAGTTGATATACGTGATTTTAATTAAACAAAATATAAAAAGAATTCAACCCAAAATACCGGAAATAAAACAGGAATATATTGATTATATAACTGTGATGGATTTGCCATCCATCATGGTGTGTGCGCTCCCACCACGTGACTTGGTGGATAGACGCGTTGCTCCGTTGCATAGCTAGGTAGATAAAAGTGGGACGGGATTGAGGATTTATCTCCCCACCAAATTTTAGTGGGATGTCAAATCCTTCTTCTCTTTTCTCACCAGAGTATTTTTGTACAATACGAGTGATTGATGTGCATCTTTGTCCTTTGCTTGTATCTGCCCCGTGACAATAATGCGAAAATATAAAAAGATTTAAACTAATAAATTATACGATAGTATTCAATAGTAAATTATCGAGCTACGTAAATTATAAAAAGTACCGGTTACCAAAAGTTATAACGACGAATAAAACGAGTTTATAAATTAAATTATAAACATAAAAAATAATAAGATCGCTATAATCTAGAATTATAACGACGATTTAAAGTCGAAATCGAAAGAAAAATAGTTATCAATACAAGGTAGTATATCGAATAAATCGGCTAGCGATTGTTATTAGCGGCGGCGTTAACGCTAGCGCTTTAACTATTAAGTGTGAGCAGAATTCATCTGTGTATGTAAGCAGTATGCGGCTGCCAGCTTCCGTGTCGGGTGACACAGGGGGTCCACAGCTGCCATACATGTTTTTTCCCACCAGAAGACAGTAGATAGACTTTTTCCTGAATACAACAACGATAGACTGTTCATCGTGCACATATCGGATCCGGGATACTGCTCTTATTAAGTTAGTTATTATAAAACACGTATTTAAAAAGATGCTTAACCTTAAATTAGTTTAATCAATAGTCGATTAACGACCGTTATAAACCAAGTAATACACTTATTAAAAATACAAAATAAATATATAATAAAGCGGTTTTAAGCTATATTTAAGGTATGAAAAATTAATATATAAACCAAATAGGCTTTTATTTATTTCATTTTATAATTTATTATTGCTTATTAATTTATCTATAAACTATTTGTTTACCATGTATAAACTATTTATCACTATATTATTTCTATTATTTTATAATCGCTGCTATTTATACTTTATGGTAACTTTTTGAAAAGTTAAAAATAACTTTTTAAAAAAAAATACAGCTTTATTAAGGGGTTTTAAATTAATCGGTAATATTCGTTCGAGGAAAAAAGTATACGGTATTTATAAAGGCATATATAAGGTCTACGACATGCCCAAATTAAAAAGAATATCAGGTTTTAACTACATTCTATTCTACCCCCTATTATACGATACTTAATTAACTGTTTCTCTCACTTTGTAACACTACGCCTTGACAAGCAGTAGCAGCAGCAGTATGGACGCGTTCGATGGTCGCCACCACCAACGCTCGAGCAGTCGCTCTTTTACCTAGATACGGCTCGTTCAGGTATTTGGACAGCCGTATGTGCCTCTATGGGGATACTATATCGGCCGCTTAAGCGTACGGCCGGCCGAACTGCGTCAGGTATTATTGTCCCGGCCATTGAATATATGAATGATTTCTCAAAGGTTTTCAATGTTGATTCTATCAGGGGGGACATCCGGCATTGGGATGAGCACTCCTCTCCACGTGCCGAGCTTGCAAGCTATGGTACCTTGGCAGTAACGTCGATATTTCAGTGTGTGATGTGCTGGGAAGTTCATCTCATCATCCCCCTTTGCAGATCAGTGGTCTCGGCTGGCATCATTAGGCGCCTTATTCGAATCGCAATTCAAAAGAGGCATATAAAGCTTCCGTCGACCCGCTGAAGTCCTGGCTGGGGAGGGCATCGTGAAGCCCCCTCCTCCTTAGCTGCCTCTGTCGAAGGCCCTTCGCCTTGGGCAAGACACACTTCTACACTGATATTTCCGGATAAAGGTAACCAAACACTCCCTGGATCGTTCTGACTATACACCTTCGATACACACCACAGGTTGTTGTCGTGCTATAGGCCAACGCTCCATCGTCACACCAGATCGTCCTGTCAGCATCATATCAGTCCACACACCAGCGGTCCAATGACAGCCGAGAAGCCATGTGCTGCAGTCAGCTAGTAGTGTGAATCGTAGATTAAAGTTCTTCCCAATACCTGGAATGGCCTATGTCTTCGATATCAGATCAATCCTCCGAACACGTTGACAAGCCCTCTTTTTGGTTCTATGGCCCAATAGGCCGGCCTCTCCGTAGCGATCGCTTACATACCTATGCGGTACGGTATGTATGGTCTCGGCTCATACGGCATGGGTCCCGTGCTCGCCGTAGGAGGCCGAGGTACGCAAACGATATGGCGGCTCATTGTTGCACGAGGAACACTCGGGGGAGCCTCACCTCATCGCGTAAACAGGATTTCGCGATTTGGTTGGAGGAGGAAGGCCTGGCCTGAGCGTTATGCAGAAATTCACGTGTTCTTCGTAGACTTTCCACCTCGGGGCTTGAGCCTGCCTTGCGTATTGAACGCTTTCTCGACGTGTTGGGCTGTGTGTGGTGAGAGTGAGTCATTGGCCATCATGAGAACTTCCGGTGGGCTTTGAAGAATCATCATACACGACGAGCAAGCACCATGAAACGAGCAGCCATTAATTAACTACCAGAGAATTTGACGGGCAGAGTGAGGAAGGTCTTGCAGTCAAAGTCACAACAGGGAATGGGCCCAACTCGTGCTCTTGGTAGGCACATCAAGTTCGTGCAGGGGTCCCTCAGGGGGCCACGATAAACCAGTATGCACTCATGCATGACTTGCCAGGCAACAAGACAATACCGCTATAGTTACAGGCTTAATACACACGAAACCTCGTATACGGAGTTCTGACCGACCGCCCCCCTCCCCCTTACTTTTCGTTTGGCGAAGAGAAGCTCGCATCATGCCGCCCGTCGCCTCAAATCATATGGTCCATAGCTGCAATATCCCGCTCAGCATTCATGACGCTCCGAATAAAGTCAGTTGCTCGACGGCAGAAACGTCGCCTGATCACTTCCCCCGGTCCGGGCACGGGACGGCGTATCGTCCCGTCCGCCGGGTGAAGGTGCGCTGTTGATGTGCCCGTAAATGAATGCTCGGGGCTTGGGGCTGCGGGATGAAGTTGGGAGGGCGGGAGCACAGGTTCCGGCTTGGGGCGGTTGGATGATTTCATGCCGTTAGGGACGTTGGGAGAAGGATATGGAGGTTGCCTGGGTTTCAGAGCTGTGGTGTAGGGTGGGAGTGGGGGCAGGTGTTGTGTTGTGTTGTGCCCGATAGGGAGGTTGAGAGCGTGACTCGGTGGCGAGTCGAAAGGGGTGGCGATACTTGCCAGTACCAAAAGGTACGTCTCGGAGGCTTAACGTTCAGTACGCGGTAAAGATGTACGTGAAGACATTCAGCAGTGAGTGTATTCGGTCAAATCATCAGTGATCCTCTAGTAAGGACACCACATATCGTAATATTATTATGTGTTCTAGCATCAAAGGTCGCCAACTCCTAAATCCCAGTAACTTCTATGGTATTAGAGAGCCAGAGAGCCAGAGAGCCACAAAATCCCACGCGCCAAAATCTCATCACTAGGTCAGCTCACAAGCTTTTTCTCCTGTCATCATCCCAAGCAACTTCTAGACCGTACCTCTTGGAATAGCTCAAGCGACACCATCCACCATCATGACCTCGAACCTTCCGTCCGACGACGCGATTATCGCCTGGTTCGGCTCCTGGATATAGATCTGGTTCTCATCGCAGCGCGCATTCAGCCAGGCCCTCGCGGCGTGGTTGGTTGCCCGCCACGGCTTGTCCACGACCGTGTCGACAACGGCAACGCCCGCATCATTGACGCGCAGCACGTGGCTCGGCGCGGCGGTCAGGAGATCCACGACGCACTCCCGGACCAAGCCGCTGCCGTCCGTCGTCGCCATGAGGGCGCCGCCGTCGCTGCCCTCGAGGAAGCTGATGTCGCCCCAGATGGTGCCGCCCACGATCGAGAACTCTATCCACGTGCCCAGCATGTGTGGCATGTTGTTCGTATTGACGGCCACGGTACCGCGCACCATGCGTCCCTGGAAGGTGGGGCAGACTTGGAGGAAGGCGCGCGTGCCTTGTGGTATCTAAGGATGAGGGTGGTGGGTTAGTTGGTGATTCTCGAAGGGATGCGATAAAGTGCAGTGTAGGAATAGGAGGGGAAGGGGAGCAGGGAGCAGGGAGCAGGGAACAGGGATATGGAGACGAGATCGAAGCGGAAAAAAGGCGTGGGGTTTCAGTACATCTAGGTATTTCCACGGGTGCTCGTCGCGGCTGTTCTCGTACAGGAAGTACTTGACATTGGGGTTCTTGTCGTGGTTGGTCACCCAGATGCCCGGGCCTACTTCTGGATCACCGCCTAGGTGTGCTCACGTTAGTAGCTGTCCACTGAGAGGGTCTCGCGGAAAGGGACGGACGACGGACAGGTTCGAATCGTCGGCTGGTCTGCGGCTCCACAGTACTGGATCTCGCGGTCTTGCAGGGCGACACTGCGAAAGGAGGCGACGCTCGCTAGGCTTCCGGCAACGGCAACGGCGAGGATGAGGGGATTAGCACGCATCTTTGCTGTTTCCGTGTGATGTTTCGTCCGAACTCGGGAGTGCGTATCCCAGGTTTGGGTAGGCTGATGGTGGACCTCGTCTGGATCACCACCTGCAGACAATGTTCAAGGTTGTGTTCGGCTGTTCCAAGTCCGGGGTTCGTGAAGGCCAAGTCCTTCGTCCCAAGGCTACCTTACTTTATACTTTACGGGAACGCGCCTTCCTTCTGGCTTGAGTCTGCCCGGTTCGGACTGCGCCGCTCCTTCCGCCCACGTATATCCGGGAGTTGGACGAACTCATGACGTCTCGAGACGCCAGGCAGTGCAAAAAAGTCCGAATGTACACACTCTAGCTTCGTAGGTATGCATATTCCACTCAAAATGTGCCCAACAAAGCAGTGGCGGACTCGGGGAATGGGCATGGTCTCTAAAGTCTAGTTGTTGTCGCTGAAAGTACACTTGCGCTGGAGAGTTTCTTGGCAGGGGTCGAGATGGCTTAAGGTGCGATAAAGGTTTAAAGGGGTATGACAAACTCAAGACACGCCATCGCAGGGCGCCTTCTTGTCCCTATTAAGCATCGTTCAGTAAAGTAGCTCGGCCCCTGCGCTAGCTTCAATGTCTGCGGGCCGAGAAGTTCTAGAGTTTCGAAGAACTCGGATTCGGACCTCCGCCTGCGATGGAGCATTTGCTGACTTATTAGGTACGCTCTGAGCTCACTGTTGTTTTTGACTCGGAGGCATACGATTGACATCTGCCGAGGTCCTCAACAATTGAGTAGACAATCAAGTTGTAGTACTCGTCATTGTGGGCGTTCTGTTCAGTCGTGTTGGCCGCTGGTGCATTGACATCGCCATCGGCTGTGTTCGACCCATCGCTTCGCGTTGCAGAGGAAGCATAGTGTTAGATAGTTCAAAAACCTCGTCATTGTCGACAGCTTTCACCTCAAGAGTCTAGAGATAGAGAAAGGGAAGACAGCGAGGTAGATATATAGAGGGAGGAGAGCCACAGAGAGAAATATGCGTTGTCATATGGGCCGCCGTCAGCACCCAACAGCCATCCTCATGGAACAAATAGTCGCACCACCTACCTCTTCACCAAGCCAGTGACGTACCTATCCGAATATCGCCAGACTCCCGAAGCAGATCTGGCTGGCTTGAATGAAGCGAAGTTGATAAATTCTCAACAAGATTTCGTCTTTCATCCTCCATGTTTTCAGTTGTCAGAAACCCGTGTTTCGAACACCATCTCAATTACACTCTACGCTACCACACAAAGCAAGCAAGCCTCCCTTCAGCCAACACCTGCAACTAGGTACCGTCTCCAGTCGTTATAGTTATCCACCCATTATTGCCAGCTGCGCATACACCCATACACCCCTACTCAACAGCCCACTCTACGACCTCACCTCAGCAAGCCCAACCCCCTACCCTCTACCCCCTACCACCCACACGAACCACGCACCCACCCACATTCGCAACCCCCCAACCGTCCGCGGAGGTAACACTAGGACCCCCGCGCAGGCATGAGTTCCTCGAGTCGCGTGCGGGTGGGCGGCTCCAGGGGCAGCGGCCTCAGCGACGGCAGCGTCAGCGTCAGCGTTGCGTCCTTCATGTGTGCTTTTGCTGAGGATAACCGGTTTTACCCGGTGGTCTGTAAAGGGGGTAGTAGTAGTAGTAGTGGTAGTTCGGAGTCGGAGTCGGGGTCGGGGTTGGGGTTGGGGATAGCAGCCACGATGGGCCAGGGCCGGGGCCGGTTTATGTTGCACAGGTCGTTGGCGCCACCGGTGTTGGCTGTGGGGTGGGACTGGGAGGGCCATGGTGGTTGGTGTGTGGTGGTCGATGGTGGATGGTAATGCCGTGGTGCTTGGGTGGGCGGGAGGCCTCGGCGATGGTGTCTTGTTGCTTGTTCTCGGGGAGGAGGATGGGCTGTGTCTGTCGGGAGCAAGGCTGGGTTTGGGATTGGAGGCAGGCGCACTGAGTGAGTTCCTACTTACCTACTTATATTAATCTCGTAGATGGGGGGCGATGGGCTCTATTGTTCATTCACTATATGTATACCTACCCATGGAAGGGAACAGTGAATGGACGCTGCCCGATGCCATTGCAGAGTCCACCAATGAGCTTAATAGAACGAAGGTACGACGAAATGTCGTCGTGGTCTTCCCGAGGGTGGACACCGGTTGTCACTGGACCGGAAATCGTAGCATCACCATGCACGAACTGGATGTCCGAAACATAACTTTGACATGAGTAATGGAACAATCACGAAAGGTCGGAAGGGAAAATCCCAAATGCATACTTGCTTGAAGACGTCATTCATTCATGCCCACGAACTAACAATACATATAATCGCCCTGCGCCTGTATCAACCCAACCCCTTTCACGAGGGATACTCAGCCTCCCGCGAAGCCTGGGTAACGCTGCCCGGCGCCTCGTTGCCCTCAGCCGAGATGCTCCCAGGTACGGTCTCCGGGTCGTAGTAGTCGGAGCCCTTGAACTGGTTCTTTCGCGGCGCGTACGTGGTGCCGGCGATGTTCGACTCTACCGCCGCCTTGCCCTCGGGCATGGCGTCGCCGCCGCTGCTGAACGGTACGGTGGGGTCGGTTGCGCTCATGGAGCCGATGTCGTGCTGGCGCTTGCCTGTCGCGTCGAGCGTGTTGTGGCCGCCGTAGTCGTATTCTTGTTGGCGCAGCTTGTCTTCCGGGCCGCCGTTGCCTTCGAAGTGCTCGCCGCGTGTTTGGCTGGTGGACGGTGTTAGTTCTCGTCATATATGACAATAAAGGTGAGAGGCTGGGGCTCACCGTCCGCGAGCATCTACCTCTCCACCCTCCTCAGGCGGGATGCGCTTGTTGTAGCTGGCGTTGGTGCTCAGGTCGGAGCCGTATTTAACTTCCGCGCCCGGGAACTTGTTCTCGACTCTGGAGTCGACACCGGCCTCGTCGCTGGGTGAAGTCTTGTTTGCACCGGTCTTGGCCTCGTAAGAGTTCAGGTCTCTCTCGGCTTGGTTGGCAATTTCTTGCAGAGTCTCGGGTGATGGTGCCATTGTGTCTAGATAAACAGGGTTGTGTTGTTTGTTGGTTCGGTGATGGACAGGAGTGTGGTTTGAGGTAGGTGGGTGTCGTTGGAAAGGCAGTTGTAGCTTGTTGTCGTGTGATGAAATGAACAGTGATTCTAGAACATCGACCACGCAATTGAGCTGCTCAGACGACCTCTTTATTCGATTCAGTCGTTCCAAAGGTTTGCTCCCTCATCCGTCGACGTCATCGAGGCATCGCGGTATCGAGATTTTGACCTCATCATGAAATCATAGGCCCCGATTTTCTCAGGGACATGTGGGGATTAAGGTTGACATTTCACCACTTGCACACATTGGTCACCTTCTGAGATTAGAAGGCTGGCATGTCATCTTGCTATATTTTTCAGTGCTGGGCAATTTGTGAGTGAGAAAATATCGAGGGTGATATCATAGCGTCGCTCCATTGTGACAGCGCCGCTCCAAATGCTCCGTTCCTCATGCCCCTCCATTGCCCCACCTACCCTTCTGGCCACCTTACACAGTGGCAGCAACGACCACATGTCTTGCCGTCTTCTTCAGCTGCGACCCAAAGAAAAAGCAGCACACTCGTTTTTTTGAGAAACTATGACGTTGATTCTGTGATTTACCAGATCTTCAACCCCGTATAACATGAAGCAAAGTCGACCTTGAGAGCTTGGCAAGTACATAGATGTCGTGTTTCCCGACCATCTTATGAGCTCGAATTCGAAACCAAGCTGCAGCTCTCTGGCCTGGCGATGGCATCAAAAACTCAAATGCTTGCCGCGTATATATGGTTGAATTCAGAGGGTATCGTGAAAGCACATCTATGAACCGCGTAAGGGCAAAGAATCCGCAACCGCCTCTAACTACAGCCCATCCACCGGTTTAGATCCCATAGCACAAAGCTCTACTCATAAACATAACACCGCCCATCCGCAGTCATAGCCATGCCGTCCCGAATCGTCGGCCGGTAGCCCCCGCCCAAATCCATCACATCCTCCAGCGTCGCATTAGCCGGCGGCACGCCGGGCGCCGTATCCAGCGGGATCCCCTCAAAAGTGCGATACCCATCGGTCGCAAACGTCCGCGCCGCCAGGTCCTGGCCCTGCCACAGCGCCCACAGCCGGTCGATCTGCGCGTGCAGGAGGTAAAAAACCGGGTCGTTGGGCGACGTGAACAGGTCCATGCCGTCCTTGCCCAGGAACCCGTGCGCGTTCTGGTGCCACAGGTTGTCCATCCGGTTGCGGAAGGTCGCGATGTCGGGCGAGGAGATGATCAGGGTGGCGTTGGCCCAGGTCAGCTTGCCGACGCTGGACGGGAGGTCGATGTTCCGCTTCAGACACCGCGGGTTCGCGTGGTAGCCGTACTTGTCGCCGCTGGCCACTTCGGCGCTGGGCAGCTGTTCCGTCGGGCCAAGACTGACCGAAAAGTTGGCGAACTGGCCGTCGGCGATGCAGCCGCCTCCGTGGCCGGCCGGGCGCGGGATCGTGATGTTGGCCACGAGGCCGGGGATTTGGATGTTGTATGGGCCGTGCCCCTCGGTGCTGGGGTCGTAGACGCCGTCGCCGCCGAACCAGGCGGGCGAGAACACGGTGGACTTCAGGGGCGTCGAGGAGAAGCGCGCTTGGTCCCAGTAGGGGAGAGCGCCGTTGTAACCGCAGTCCCGCAGGGCCTCTTCCATGCGGTATATGAATATGCGGTGCCAGGACAAGAAGGAACCCTTGATGTTGCTTTGTCAGCTTGCTGTTATGGCTTGGGATGGAGTGGAGTGAGTGAGTAAGGGGAAGCAGGGGTAGGAAGCCTACCGAGAGGTGGATTAGGTTGGTCTGGTTGATGTGGATGTATGTGAAGTCGTCGAGGCGGTTGACGGCGCCGGGAGCCAGACTCTTGTCGACGGTTGTCGGCTTCGCGGCTAGGCACTTGACGGCGCTGATGTACGCGGTTCTCTCTGCGTTGTTGAGGTTATCCCTGAGTTGCGCTGACGTTAGTGACTCGGCCCTGCCTTTATGTGATATTTACTGCTGGTTGACTTACCATGACTTCCGAACGCGAACGGTCTCGGCGGTGCAGCCTTCGGTTCCAAGGGCCGCGCGGATGTTCGCTCGGTACTTGCCCTCCAGCTTAGAGAAGTCGGCGGGCTTGGGGATGCCGCTGCTGTTACTGAAGGGTACTGCCAGCACGCTATGCGCCGCCAGCGAGGCGAGGGCGCAGATCAGAGTCGAGGACCGCATCGTTGCTGAAGTTGGCGAGGTTGAAGGATCAAGTAGTATCCTGGTCTGCGATACGGTACGGAGTTGGCAGGCTGATCAGCGCCGCAGTGAAGTGTGGGAGTTGCCGTGGTGAATGAGTGTGCGGTGGGGCGAAGAGATGAATCAGAAGCTCAGGTGAATGACTTCCAATATATATATATATTGAAAAGCATTTCGTCTGATATCCTGCGCGTGGGACGATGTTGCATATCACAGCGCCGATGACCGATATGTCGAGATGCCGGGACCGACACTCCTCGACCGTTGACTCTATAGACATGCATCACATCCTTGCTGCTGTCAAGTCGGCCTCGTGGTCGATCTCCAATCTTGTGGAAGCCTGGTGTGGAACCCGGGATGGTGAACCATCAACCATTCCACTGTGCAATGTGCCTGACATGCATCTTGTCAGCCCGTGCCATCGAGATACCACTGAGTGCCACCAGGGGTAGGGACATGCAAACACGCCATGGAACAAGAATGGTAGGCGGGTTTGCTTGTGACGGGACCGAGTATTCACTTCCCAGCCGATGTGTAAGACGACGTTGAACCCAACCAGGGGTAGAGTCAAGAGTCAAGAGTCGAGATATCCATCCTCCTGCATAATCCCCTGATCAGTCAGCTATTGTGGACCACGGGACGGCGCAAGACGACGCCGCGCTCCGTGATTCTCTGCTCCATCCGGTCGGCATCCTGTTCTTGATTGGCCAATGGACCATTCCACGGTCCACCCACCTCACGATGCTCGTTTCTCGAAGACGGAGAACATGCTCCCTCCAGATGTCAAATCGCACCCAATCCCAAAGGATAAAATGTGGCTTGCAGCAATACAACCCGAAACGCTGTCTCCTTCCCTTCTCGTCCCGTCCAAGTTGAGATGACAGCAAGAAGAGCTCAACCAACGGCAGGATTCAGATGCGCTCAACCCGATACTGGGCGTCGGTGCCGAAGACGAAGGGTCAGATATAAATATCTCCACAATCTCTTATCCATGTAACTGACCAAAGCAAACTGCAAGCGCCGACTCGCCGACGTATCTTATTATTGACTCAACCACAGCGGAATGTCAACCGATCTTTGTATGCTACTGGACTGGGATTCGCGGAATTTGAGCGCAAGTCATGTGGGCATCCTCGATGTGCTGTGATTAGACCACCTCAAAGGCTGCAGTACGAACTCAAGGGGGAGCGCGACAGCCCATCACCAACCGTCTAGCCCCTTTCACTCTCATCTGCGCACTGATCACGAAGGGAGATGCCCTAAAACACACAAGACACGTAATCAGAGATAGTCATATAGATACCCGCGTTCATTGATATGGACAATGGTGTACATATACACCTCCCTATACTTCTTACTTCCCAGCAAACCCCTCCTCATCCCTAAGCCAATGCCCCACCATCTTCCGCACAATGCCCACCTCCGACAACAGCGGACAAGCGCTCAGCGCCTCGCTCTCAGCGCAAGCCCTCCCATTCTCATACCTCAGCTCCGAGCCCCCTTTCTCCTTTTCACCTGTATCACCATACGTCTCCTCATAGTAATCCGCGAGCTTGAAAGCCGGCAGCCTCTCCTCAGCCTCAGCCCCCAGCTCAGCGGCTCGCTTGCGCAACTTCGCGAGCCAGACCGCGACGTCGACCTCCTCGAACTGCAGCCCGACCTCGCGCAGCGCGGGCAGGAACTCGTCGTTCCACGAGAACGCGTGCGGCGGCACGACGTTGTAGAACGCCGCCTTCTTGTTGTTGTCCCCACCAGTCTCTACAGCTGTCCGGAGGAGCGTGTCCGCGAGCTGCAGGAACGTGCGCGCCACCGTGTTGACCGGCATCCACTCGCAGCGGCCCTCGTACCCGTGCAGGCGCGGCAGGGCCCCAAGCTCCGTCGCGCTGCGTACCAGCAGCGGGATGTGCTCCTTGTCGTTCCAGATGCCGTGGACGCTGTCGGCCGAGATCTGGCCGACGCGCAGCAGGCCGACCAGCGAGCCGCCCTCACCACTCCTACCGGCGGCGTCGCAGATGCGCTCGCTGACCAGCTTGGAGCGGCCGTAGCCCGTCGCCGCGGCGTGCTCGAGGGACGCGAGGGGCGCCTCGGGCACGCTGCCGGGCATCGGCGTCCGGAAGGCCGTCGAGATGCTACTTGCGAAGAGAAGACGCGCTGGGTCTCTGAAGGGGACGTTCCGTGCCAGATCCAGCAAGTTGCGTAGGCCTGCGATTTGTGGTGTGAAGCTCGCGAGCGATATGTTGAAGTTCACAGGCCAGGCCGCGTGGATGATGAGGGTTGTCGAGTTCTGCAGTGTAGCGTAAACATCGGAAGAGAGTCCGAGGTTGGGAGCCCCGAAGTTGTCGGTTGTTAGGGCTGTCAACTTATTGACTCGGCTGCCGTTTTCACCATCTAAGCTGAGTCCTCGTGCTTTCATGGATTCTGAAACTCGGCCTAGGGCGTCAGCGCCTCGGACGAGACAGTACACCTTGTCCACCTTGGGATCGTCTAGTAGCTGGTTGAGTAGGTGAGCCCCAAGTGCTCCAGTTGCTCCAGTGAGGATCTAAGATATGGCTATTAGTCAAGTTATGTGATGGAAGACAACTATCCATATCACTCACCACGACATCTTTCTCCGGTGTCGGTTGCTCTCCCGGCTTGCGCATATCGAACTGGCCATACTCAGCAATGAGCTTCTCCATCTTCGAGATTTCGCTCTCGTCATTCGAATGCCCATTTTCGAGTTTCTGTCCCGTCCGCATAGAATACAAGACTCCTGCGAGTTTTGCCGCGGTCCCCGCGTCGTATACTGCGTTAGTAGGGAGAGACTGTCCGCCGAGGTCGAGGTCCAGCTGCAGCAGCCTGCGAACTTGCGCAGCTCGCAGGCTGTCGATACCCGCAGCGAAGAAGTCGGACTCAAGATCCGGCAGCTCGACGCCTGCCAGCTCGCGGAAGACTTTCACGATGAACTGTTCCAATTGCTCGATATCGAGCTGAAGGTTCTTGCCGCTCTTCCCGTCCTTGTCGTATAGGCTTGTGATTATATCTGCGAATTTGGCCGTTGCGGCTGCTCGGATGATGTTGTTCTTGTCTGTCACTGGATATTCGGTATCTGCTGGAATGGAGGCTATCATGTCAGGGGTGATGCGTGCGAATTCGTCCATGATCTCGTTGGCGGCCTTGACCTCGGGCGAAATAGCACTGATGAATTCGTCTTCGGATAGTCCTGCCGCGGCCGGCGAGCGGAATACAAGTAGACCAGGCATGAGGCGATCATTACCGACCATCAGCGCGTCACGCACCAACGGACTCTGGCGGACCGTGCCCTCCATAGAATTGGGCAGGATCTTCTCCCCGTTGAGCAAAGTGATGCGGTCGTCATCACGAGCAATGTACTTCCAGGCATTCTCGATGGTCGGATGCGGGGTGAACAGGTCTCGTGAGTGATAGGAGCCCGGAGGATCGTCGGAGTTGCTGGTCACGGGCAGGAGCGCGGGATGTGACTTCAGATACACGCACTCGTAGACGCCTTCGTTCAGCTTTTTGAACACGACGTGCTTGAGCAGACTCCCGTACGGCCTGATGTACACCCACGAGTCGTCGCCAGGCTCACGGTAGATGGAATCGCCCATGTGACCGACCTCTGTTCTGGGTACAAGTTAGCATAAGAGACTGGACCAGGAACGTAAGTGTGTGGGATACGAACGAGCCGAAGATGACGCCAAACTTAATACCCTGCTGAACCAGACTGTCTCCCAGCTCATCAGGGGTTCGCGCCCCGGCAGCCGTGACGAACTTGCATCCTTTGAGGACCTCGACTCCCTCGGGGCTCTCGGCCATCAGCTTCAATGCATATGGCACGGTATGACAGATCTCAGGCTGTGCCACCTTGAGAGCCGAGACGAGGTGACCCGCCGTCAGGGGTAGGTGCGCATTGAACAAATAGGCCGTTTTGCGCATGTACATGGCCGCCATCGAGGTGAACAAGCCATGGGCGTGGTACCATGGTAATGCGTTGAACGCCTTGCAGCCAGTGCCGGAGAACACGTTGTTCAACAGACTGCGATGAGAGAGGGCGAGCGGCTTGGGGAGGCCCGTCGACCCCGAGGAGTGTCCCATGAGCACCGGCTGGACATGCTCTGCCTCCTTGTCCGGGATGGGTCGCACAAACGGCTCGGTAGGGACTCCAGGTTTGTCAAAGTCCTTTCTTGCTGGCATGGGGAGGAATTGCAGGTTCTGCCGCGCTTCTTTCAAGTCGGCTACGGTTGAGTTGATGTTTACTGTGGATCCGTGTAGCATGGCATCACATCCAGTTCGCTCCAGCAGAAAGAGACACGCCGGCTTGCTAAGGCGAATAGACATCATCAGGGCCTTGCAACCCAGACGGAAGATGGCGAACAAAGTGACGACGAAGGACAAGTCCGAATGCGCAAATAGTGCTAGCGTTTTGTTGGAGTTCACCTCGAAGCCCGCGGCGACTAGGAGTCGACAGGTCTCGTCGACCATGCGATCGAGGTCTTTCCCCGTGAAGAGCTCGTACTCGGCCGCATCGTCCTCGTACCTGGGATAGCCGAGGATAGGGGCCTGGACCTCATCCTGTCCGCGCAGACGGATGAGGTCGTCAATCATCCACATCTTGCCATACTCGCGGATGCGGTCCTCCACGACGGCGGTCGAAATATTCGCCATGGTTTGAGGGAACCCGCCAGACCGGGCTTGCTGATATCGATGAGTAAGACGAGGTGGTGTATGCTTCGATGCTATCCTGTGATCTTGGTAGGTCTGCAGAAAATCACAACTTTGCACCGTTCCAACCTCTCGGTCCCTTGCGTGCGTCGGCGACACGACGAAGTATTCCCTCTGACCGTCGGTGACACGGTGATCGTTCAGTGTGATTCACGACTACTCGACGAGGGTAAGCAAGTATCAACACAAATGGATGAGTGTGACGTACCTTAGAGGTATGTGCAATCCGAGGTAGGTACACGATATCGTCGAGTGCGCATGCGCATAAGACATAAGCACAAGCCGAGATGGAAATTGACGGAGTGGTTGCGGCAATCACCACATGCGCCGGCACCACCGATCTGGCCCTGCCTCCCTTACTTACATAAAGCTGCACGTGGCCACCCGCAGCAGCAGCAGCGAGATACCGGTACTGAACTCAACGCCGAACGGCGCATCGGCCGATGTCTCATGCGGGTACGTCAGACCGTTGGCACTAAGGCGTGTATCGTTGGTATAACCGTCTGGCTGGGTCCGGTGTTTGTTCCCTAATCGGAAAACCCCACGAGATGCCACGGCTCGCGGCAGATGGCTGCCAGGCTGCCCAGGTGTTCGTTCATGTTGCTATCCATTGCGACAGCACAGGCAGAGGCATCCGCATAGGAGGTCCGCAGTGGAATGTCCAGAAACCGTCGCTCTATCTTCATCCGCAGGGTTCGTCCCCCCACCGTGTCGGCGTATCCGCTCTGCCCCTCCCATCGGTATCAACTATCAAGACGTCGTACTCATTTGTCACGGGCATTCCCCTCAAGCTAGTACCTATCTACAGTAGTGGCCCGGGAATATTCGTACGGAGGAGTGACTTCCCGGGGTAGTGGACCCTGGAAGACTGGGGCCGGCACGTTGTAAAGTTCGTGCTCCTTCCGTCATTACACCCTGGCTATAGTTGGAAGGCTTCAAGGGGCCCAAGCAAATACTATGCCGTAGAGAGGAAGGAACAGCCAATATATCAAGATGATGCATATCAACTTATCAAGATCGCTGCTTCTATGGGTACTGCAGATAAGACTATTGCTCACTTGCAGCATAACTGGAGATGAAGCATATCTCTTGCTGCTTCTGTCATGAAGTTCAAGATCAGTCGTTAGCTCACGAGTCTGGTATCGTGGAGGGTGGGGAATAGGTGCTATACCCCATATTGCGCTAACTATATTCAGGGGCACTCGGTCAACTTCATGGTCAGAGTGCATATGCATCCCATGATCGAAGCCGGGCACTACCACAATGCAGTGTGTTTTATACCTATTTTCATACCCATTCACTGCCTGGTACGCGTTTCAAAGACCGATGTCGTTCCATCGATCTTCTAGCACCCCAAAACATCCCGAAACTTCCGCAAGCAATGCCGTGGCTGCGTGGCGGGCATCCCCTCTCCACTCGGACCACTCAGCTGCCACTCCACGATCCCTCGTGGGTGGAAGGAGAGGTGGGGTCACATCGTCTGAGCGGGGGCCAGCGGAAGATCCCTTCCCTTCCCTCCCCTCCAACTTCCAAGTCTCCGAAGGATCGGACGCTGCACGCCCGGCAAGCAGAAAAGCTTGAAAGTTGAAGGCCACATCAGGTATGGATCATGGATCAAAGGACAGGGGGCCGGGATGCGCATGACCAGTCACGGTCCACGACGTCGCAACGGACGGGTCTTCCAGTTACATTGCGCAATGCTTGGGATACTACTGTAGCCACCACCTCGGCAACCGAGATACTGCCTGCGTCTATTGTACACGGGCCTTGCAGCATCACATCACATCCTAGAGAAAAAAGCTTTTCTTCATCACCAGGCCAAGCCATTGATCATGGCACGCACGGGCAGAATGGGATGGCGAATACAACCCTGGGCGCGTCATAGTGTCCACCCTCATCGCCCACCAGTCTGCCAGTGACCACTGCCGGACACAGGCAGCAGCACGTGGAGCAGAAGAGCCGAGAGAGTGCCCGTTGCCCATCTTGCGATTAATATTTCCCCCTTTTCATTCCCAGGTGTCGTTTTGTGCTCAGAAGGTCTGGGCAAGACTTGCAAAGGGGGCAAGGGAAAATTCTGTCTGATGGACAGGTGTAGATCCGGTCCGAATAATGCGGAAGGGATTCATACCTAACCTACCTGGCCGCCTGGCTACATGTATGCGTGCCGGGGTCTTCGAACAGATATGAGGAATTTATTATTACAATCAGAAACAGGCCACTCATCCATTGATCCACCACCGACCGCTTTGCTTTTGCATTGCTTGCGAGGGGAGACAGGACCCGGGATCCCTGCGGTCCCGACTCCCGACGTGTCGTTTCTGGAGCACTCGATACCTTATTATTACCTGGAAGCGCGAATCCAACTTTAAAACTGCAGTCCCACTGCCTATCATCGCTCACCAGAAGGGTTAGAGGTTCGCGGAAAGCGCCCTCCCTGCCCTACTGTAGGCTACCCCCTGAAGATCAAATCAGACCGCCCGCAGCGGGCAAGCCGGGGTCGACAGGGGGCGGCTCGTCTTTCAGGGTCTCTTCGGTCGGCTGCCTGCAGTCTGCGCAGCTGTGACGGTTCGCTGTGCGCACCCGCTGGTAGTGTCAGTGTCAGTGTACCAATCACCTCTTCCAGGCGCTGTGGTGCGCTGCCCTGCCCGCCCTGAACCCTGACTGCCCTGAATGTCGCCATCAATATGGCTTGCTACGCCGCTTGTTGGCGCTGACAACGCGGGTGGCAGTATATCTCCCGCTGGCCGTGCCGCCTGTTGGCGCCGCGAAGGTTTTTGCATATTTTGACCTCATGAAGGAGATATAGTGTAAGTAGGTATAAATGGCAGCTATGGCGGCTTAGAAAAGGGTATAACACATTCCATCCCATCAGAAGTACAGATTATTTTCGTAATAGATAACAGACATTCCTCGTAAGAACCGCGCTCTCCTAGATTAATAAGCTCGGGGTGCGCCTGGCAGATGAACCTCATTATTGGGTGTCGATATCTGGACAAAGTGATCTGGACCGTCTGTCTGTCGTTCCGATTCCTTGTCGTCGACCGAGACTCCAATGTCCGTCTTGACCATGATGTCAGACAGGCCCACGGGCTGGATCTGGTCGGCATCCCTGTGCCTGTTGAACGGCTTCGACTTGGTCCTCGACAGGGCCATCGAGTTGCTCCCGAGCGTGAGCTCCTCTGTGCTCGAGTCCTGCATGTCGTTGTCCCTGTGGTTGCTCTGGAGCTTGAAGTGTCCCGACCGGGCGACTACCCTGTTGCCAGACAGTCCGTACTGCTTTTTGGCACCGCTGCCGTAGCCGGAGCTGTGTGTTGTGGTGCCGTAGCCCAGGAGCTTGAAGAGGAGAGGCCGGATCGCGGGGAGGTTGGCGCAGATGAATCCGACTTCGACCTCGACCGTGCTCCAGAGCCCGCCTCCGACGTTGGTGAATGTGAAGTCCGTGGGGTCGATCTGAGTCACGGCGATGATACGGAAGATGCTCGCAACGCAGACACTAGTCGACCAGATATTAGCAATCTACTTCTTTGAGTGGAGGCGATGATGAGGAGATAGACTCACAAGGCACCGAGCAGGAACAGGAAACTCAACGACCACTTCTTGCTCTTCGAAGTGTGCAATTTCCAGACGACCGGAAGCGGCAGACCCAGAACCGCAACGTCACCGAGGACGTTGATGATGGCGGAGGCGAGGTAGAATGTGTTCTGGTCGATACAGGTCCCCTCCACCTCGTGGTCCCAGAACTTTGAAACGGGCGTGCACTGCAGCAAGAAGCTGAAGAAGTTGGACAGGAAGATGCCGGCGGAGAGGGCGCCGACGGCCATGGCGCCGATGCGGAACCCCTTGGTGTGGAATACGCGCCAGTAGAAGAGCAGAATGCCGACCTTCACAGAAAACACGCTCGTCGCCCACATGAGCATGTATGCGTAGAGGCACTGTCGAGACTTGTCAGCGACGCCTTGGTCATGCCCTGGTTGGTGTCATTACCTTGATGAATGTTAAGACCTCCCCCGCGGGCAAAGCGTCCTGGTGTACTCCAGATCCGAGCGACAACATCACGAAGTCCATTGTCGACATGGAAATGCACAAGGCCATCACCCAGAACATCCTGCTCGCCTTGTGGTAAGCATGGAGATTCCATCGGGACGCCGCCGGAAGACGCTGTAAGTTACTGACCAATAATCATCCCACCATAGCTTGGCCTGCGTGGTGTATCTGGCGTAGATGCGCAGCACGAAGGATAGGAGCGCGAGGGCCAGACACGAAGTCACCACACCGATGGTGAGCCTCTGGTTCTCGGCTTCGGCACCGCTTGCCATGTCGTCGGTCGATAGGTCGTGAAGGCGCTGGTGGATGTCGAGTCACGGTTGGCCCAGGCCTTAGGAGAATATGTCAGAGATCTAGATCGACTAGAGTCTGACGCAAGGGCTCAATCAAGCTGGGCTATCAAAGACCAAGCATTCGTGATTTCAGAAACCTTGCCGTTTGGGCAGAGAGTGAAATCTTCTCCTGGGACTTCTTCGTAGTCTATATGGAAATCGCGCGTGCGATCTCCTTAGATGTCGATGTGCAAGGTATTGTCGGTGCACCGATTCCAGGGTGTGTCAGAGGGACCGGGGGATCATCATTGATTCATCGCCGTCCATGCAGGTTGCCGTGTTTCTACTGTTGTGCTTGCTGCCAGCTGGTGGTGAATGTCCCATTGTCCCCTCGCGGAGACCGAAGAAGCTGCATGACCGGGTCACCCAGATTCGCGAAATAAAAGCCAGGGTCAGACGGTGATTTGCTGCTGGCCCTGGAAGGTGACCTCCTTCTCAATGCGTTGCCCGCGGGACTGGAACCGTTGCAGCCAGCGAATGAGACGAACCAGTGGCGTCTCTGAACCTGGTTATCACTCTGGTCCCTGTCTATTGGTGACCAGGATATAATTCAATCCTTTCAACGGCCCAGCCCGTCCAGCCACCCCCTCCCCAATTCTCGAAAACTCTTTAGGACCTGGTCCCAGTCGTGTTGGAGCCTCCAAAGTGATTTTATGATGAGGACTGAAAAAGCAAACTTGCGAATGCAACGGTGATAGACCGCTTGACTATCATCCGGTCAACACCATGATACAGCAAGGGGCAAATGCGACCCAACACTCAATCCATGACTCCCTGCTGAGCATGATATGATAGCTGGATTGGACACCAGTGAAGAAGCAGAGCTGTCATGTAGGTGCGGTGACAGGGCATGAATATTGGGGAGCAGTCGCACACCGACCTTGTCATACTCTCAAGCAAGCCAAGTCGACTAAATGGTGGTTGAGCGACAGGACGAAAACACAACGCAACCTAAAAACCAGCTGCTGACACTCATCAGGGTACCAATGTGTTTGACATGTACGTGACCACTGAGCCACTGACAGCCTCCCGCGCCTGTTGTGCAACTGTTACTACAGAATACAGCGTGCATTGAGAGTGGGAAGCTGAGACGCTGCAGACCTAACCGACGTGCCATGGATAGAATTCAGGATTCGATGGCGGTCGCTCCATGTCCGTCCGAGGTTCGCGATGTCCGTACTGTGCAGGTACTCTCACTGCTATGTATGTATATCTGCCCGCATTATGCATATATATGCCGCAGAAGAATCGGGGTCGCACTGGGGTCTGTAGCCACACAGAAGAATGTGAGACCCCTTTAGCGGAGCGACATTATGCAAGGCTGTGCACTATGGAAGTTGTGAAGAGCTTCTATGCAGTACTACTCCTGCCTGAATGCATACCGAGCGAGGATGGGGAAATCCTTCGGTTGTTGATCACCATTACACGAAGTGGCCCCACTATCGACCCCGTGGGGGGCAGGCCGTCCAAGTGCTTGTCAAATATTATACTTTGATACCTACCTACCTATCATAAATGGGCCCGTTGAGATGTCTCAGATCGTGTTTCCTGCGCTGGATGAAGATATTTGTCTTATTATTACTTCCATCAATGAGCAAACTTCGCAATGTAGCCCTATTCTGCGACACGGCGTTCTTGTCCCGGTTCTAATCAAAGTCTCAAGGGCAAATGCTTCAACCACTGGAAGTGCAGGACCCGAACCGATACACTGCACTGAACGACGCCGCTCTTTGCCGGCAATCGTCGGTCGTGCAGAATAGGGGTTAAATTGCCGACATGGTAGCATCTCTGTTCTGATCAGAGGAAGAACAACAGAGCTCGGCTGACGGCCGTCGCCATCACGGCGCGTGCCTGAAGCTGGGACCACGAGCATCACGAAACTTCGCTTCGGCTTCGTGGGAGAGGGCGTTACCAGACGACGTCGTTCTAGAGCGCTGACAAGGGCGCCGACGAAGGCGCCAGCAGAGGGGAGACGACTACAGAGCACGTCAGTCAGCGAGTGAGTGATTTCTCCACGAAAGCCTCACATCCGCAAGTCCACGGCGCTCGCAGTGCTCACCTGCGGCGCGCAGCACACCGTGAAGTCCACGGCGCGTAGCACTCCCAGATCTACGGCGCGTGGCACGGCGAGCCTGAGGGCGTCACCAGCAGGAATAGACGACTCCGCACGTCATCCAGGGCGCCAGCAAGGCAGAGTGATCATCGAGAAGATCACGGCGCGTATCGCACGATACGTGCAAGGCGCCAGCAGATCAGAGTGAGTGTTCCCCTTCACGAACACCTCATCCCGAAGTCCACGGCGCAGCTCACGGCGCACGTGGCAACGCGTTAATCGAACCCCCGTGACCATCACCAAGAGGAGCACGGCGCGTGACACGGCGAGCCTGAGGACGTCAGCCAGCAGATGAGTACTCCCCTTCCGCGAGCACTTCATCCGGTACCCTCAAGTCCACAACGGCACGGAGAACCCCCCTTATGCATTGGATTCATTCGAACATACAAGAAATACGGACGCCAAGCCCCACGGCCACCGGTGAAAGGCATCGATCCTAATTGGCATCATACGTCCACATTCGTCCTGCAATGCTCATCGACAAGAATCTCCTTTAGTGCCAAGAACCCACGCTTCTGCCCTTGAACGAACTATAGTAGTTCTCTTCGACTTACGCATTATGTTATCGGAGAAGACTTCTCCCGGATCTCGTGTCTCTCGAGGTGTCTTGGTTTGCATGCGTCTGGAATAGGCGAATCGAACCCCACCCTGCCACGATGAAGATCGAAGTACGATTTCCAGTACTATAGGGGAGGCTTGTTGCCTTACCAGATGTTGCTCTCAAGAAGATGTTACTCGTGACGAGATACCCGACCAAAAACCCAGAGTTAGATACTCAAGATGCCCCAGAGATGTCAAAAGGGCAAGAAGAGTAAAGATAAGACATGGCGATTGTCGTCCAATGGCTGTACCTCGATCAGAGGCCTGACGGGTATTCCAAGCGATGCTCACAAGTTGCAATTGGAGATCCAACTGTGCGGGTAGGGGGCACGCGGTACAGGCACGCGGGACAAGCTCGTACTATAAGCAGCTTCGCTTTCAACTGCCCATGCGTGTTGCGAGACCTGGAACAACGAGCATCCGGCTCGGATTGTTCCCACTTTCCAGTAGCACATGACACCAGCCTCGAAGGATGTTCAGATGCCAAGTCGTCCAATTGAAATCACGATATGAAGCCGCGGGCTTGACCGAGAAGTACAGTAGGCTGATGGCGCTGACTTGACAAATACCCAGAGTAAATATAGACCAAGGCTGAATATCACCGAAGCTATGTGTAAAGGGTAGGATATTTGCAAAGTGGTGGCTGGCTTACTGTTGAGTAGGGCGACCCATCAACACCGCTCTGCTTACACAGCTGAGCTCGCGCCAAGATAAAAGGCCCTCGGCCAGCAGCGAGAAAAAGAGGAAGTCGGGTGAGAAAAAGAGGAAGTCGGCTCACCCGAAGCCCAATCGTGCACCGCGCCAAGGCGAAGAGCTGACTGTCCAGAGGTGTAGGTCCCAACGCTGAAACTGCATGATTTGAGAAACATGAATCCAGGAAGATGGACTGAAGGTCGACAGACAGATTAGGGTAGGGCTGCAGCTGGAAGAGCTGAAGATGCCCGTCGCCTAGCCCAGCCCCGGCCACACAGTCCGAGATACGGGGTCCTCGGACCGAACGTTATGTAACGGTGCCTTCACCGTACAGGCAGCCCGGTGAGGTGCTTACCTTACCGTATTACTTGCCAGGGTGGGCTCGTATCCCTACCGTACGACTTACCGTTGAGACTATTGCTTCGACTCGCTCGCTTGATATCTGGACACTCACTGCTCGTCAGATTTAGTCCACACTTACTATGAAACGGCGTCGAAGCGACGTCCACACGTGGCTGGAAACGTGTTGCACATGCATGAACCGTCCACCACTGGTCCATCAGTGATGACCACGACCACCACCACCACCATCATCAAAGAGGCATGCATGGCCTTTTGATGGTACCGACAGCTATCCCTCCCTGTTGGCGTCTGACAGGCGGATACACGGAAGTCTTTGCCTGCCGAGACATGAGAAGCTTGCCGCCAAAACGCAAGTCAGAGGCGCAAGTCAGAGGCCAGAACCTGTCGATTAGATTACTATCAGGATCCTCCCGCACGGTATCCCCTCGATTACTATGTACGGTAGATCCTGCAGTCAGATCCAAAAGCCTGTAAAGAAGGGACCAAGCTGAGAAGTCTTGGCCAATGAAGGAGGCAAGACATGAGCCGTAAGGCTATCATGGCCCTTGAGATTAAATACCAGTGTCTCGTCCCCTTCCTGGACCCTTCGATTCCCCTTCCGTCAGCCACCAGCACAACAGTCCATAGTCCCGTCTCTGCCTCTCTCGCGCCATCTCGGCCGTGGCTCGCTCGTCGTCAGTCTTCTATAGCTTCTTTTCCGCTCAAAAGTCGCTATTTTAGCCCCTTTCGACCGCTACACACGGAGCCCATCCCCGAATCGTCGTCTCGTTACCACACCGCAAACATCATGTCTTCCGCCGTCTTCACCAGCGACCGGGACATCGAGAAGGGGTCGAACTCGACCGTCTCGCCCGGCAACGCCTCGACCTCCGCCATGCCGTATGTGCCCACGAAGCTGGCCAGCGCCAACCCCCTGGGCCTGCTGGCCTTCGCCACCAGTCTGTTCATGTTGTCGCTGTTCGGGCTCAAGCCCCGCGGTATCGAAACCAACAACATCATCATTGCCAACATGATCTTCCTCGGCGGCGTCGCCCAGGTCATTGCCGGGATCATCGACTTCGTTGCCGGCAACGCCGTATGTTCTACATCCGATAACCACGATATATGTGCTTGAAAGTGATCGCGATCGACTGACTCTCTTATATAGTTCGGTGCCACCGTCTTCAGCGCCTACGGTGCCTTCAACCTGGCCTACTCCCTGATCTTCCTCCCCGGCAGCGGCATCCTCGCGTCCTACGCCGACGGCAACGGCGGCCTCAAGCCCGAGTTCGAGCAGGCCGTCGCCCTCTTCGTCTGGCAGTGGTTCATCATCACCGTCATCTTCACCATCGGCGCCATCCGCAGCAACTACGTTTTGCTCAGTGTCCTGTCCCTTGCCGATGTCACGCTCATCCTCATCGCCACCGGCAACATGACGGGCAACGAGAATATCCTCAGGGCTTCGTCCGGCTTCGGTTTCGCTTCTGCCATCATGTCCTGTAAGTTTTACCGCATTATCGTCGCGAATTCATGCATTTTATAGTTCTCATGGGGTTATGGATGCTGATTATGTGATAGACTACGCTGCCGCTGCCTACTTGTACGTCGACGGGACGACTCCGTTCGAGCTGCCCCTCTTCCCCATCAAGAGGGATTAGATGTGCTCCGGCTGAGGGCTTGGGGATGAGAGGTCGTGGCCAGGGGCACGATGAAAAACGTGGATGGACATGTCAATCACACCGTCACAGAATGATTTCGAGAGGGACGAGGATTGGGCTTCAACTGTACATAAAAGGGTCGCGGAGGTGATGCGGTGGCTGCATCACTACGAGAGTCTGCACGGGTAGTCTGCCAAAAAATATACCAATGTCGTTTATTCCCAATGCCCCTGAGCGCCTGTCTATTCAGGTCTACATGAATATAGAGTACTTATAGCCAATGGCTTCAGCATCGACTTTGCCCTTCGCATGTCGTGCTGTGGTACACAAGCCCAGCTTTTCCCCGGACATCCAAGCGAACATGCACCCCTTTCACCACACCGATAAGTGAGTCAAGCAGATGAACCGACGACACTACAGCCCTGTTGGACAGAAGATCCGGGGATGGCAGATGCTGTGCTACCTTAGGTTCCTATTGTGGCGGCCCTGGCTGGCCGCTGGATCTGCGCAGGCTTTGCATGAGAGACATGCGGTTCGCCTGATAGGGAAATATAACATGCTACACCGTCGATCATCAATACACGAGCCAGCTTCATGCCGTCTTCCCTAGGATAACCATGGTCATCTACCAATGTCTCTGCATATCCCAGACCCAGAAGAAGGCAGACAGACGGTGGAGTGACATTCGTGAATCCATGGACAATAACATGCCCCTATGTTCCTAGAAACCTACCTATTATGACTACCAATTCATGTATTTAAGATATTATTTACTATTACTGGCTCATAACCTCACAGCGACGCGACGTTGGAGCGAACCAAGTCCGTGATGGGGAGAACAGACGACAACGCCATCTAATCCCAAGAACAGCCAAGGTGTGCGAGTTCAGGATCAAAAGCCGATTTTAGGCCTGGCGAGTACTACAGGAAGCGTATAATGGGACCAATAAACAGGTAGTTGCCATGTAGGACTTGTGTGATATCAGCCAAAGGCTGCCTGTGATGCGGCTTCTTTCAACTTAAGCGAGTGTGATGAGATAAAGAGGGAGCGTTTATGTATGCACGTCTACGCGCACCCTAGATGATCCTGGAGACACCCTGACACCCCAATACTGCATATGTGCGTGCCTGCATGCGTCGTATAGCAGACGCAGAACTTGCCATGTGCTGTGCCGCTGCCGTGCTGCAGCATCTGTCTCTCTGGGACGAACGAGCCCCTAGCGAAGGTCGTTCTGGAATCTACCTAATGTATAACGTGGTTGGATTGTGATTTGCAGAAAGCCCCAGACGAGATCATGAGTCTCATGCAAAGCCCCGAAAAGAGAAGTCCACGACTCTTCGCCTTGAAAAAGAGGCTAGGACTGGAAGGTCATTGTTCAGCTTCAGCTCCCATTGCGGCAGGCAGCTGTTGCGTCTCGGGGCGCCACGACCGAAGCATACCATGAACCACGGGACTGTACCGTCTACACACACGCAGCTGAGCATTGAGAGGAGTCTGATTCTGTAGATACGGTGGGTACTACTTAGGTAAAGCAGGCAAGCAACCGAGCATTTGCTGACAGCCAAGAGATACCTAGGAAGGTAGGTAGGTGAGCCCCCCTCCAAGCACAGACGTTAGGTACATGGAACGAACCAGTGAACCGGTGAACCGGATGGACTGACCTCCTCTTCGTCCCGTCCCATTGGCGGTCAGCCCAGCCCTGAAGCCACGGAGCAAGCCTGTCAGCTTCCATTTGTCATTGCTGGAAGCGGCTTGGCTTTCGATGCCAGGTACATTACCGGCCGGGGGTTTAGGAAGGTTCGGGGTCTGTCTGGATAGAGGCTTTGACGGAAGAGAGAATCAGGGATCAGGGAGGACTTTCTAAACTCGTCGCGTGAGCTTGGCAGCTTGATCCACTCAGGACGACTCGGCTTAGCACTTAATTGCCTCGAGGAGTAATGTACCTAGCACGCTTTTAAATACTAGGCATTGTAAAGCCAAAGAACAAGACAAGACACTGTAAGGTAGGTAATATAAGGAGGTTAAGGTAGCTGCGGGCACGTGGCGGTGGTGGGGGATTAGGTTTTAGTGTTTCTTTAGCGCTGACGGGCCGCTGCGGGTGGGAGCCAAGGACCGAGTTCTAGGGGTCCTCTACCTGCTGTTGAGAAAACGTAAAAAACGTCCTGCGTGGGGTACAGTTACGCCGCGCGCGATACGGTGGGAGTCAGTATGCAGGACGCGGTCTAGACCTCAGCAGGGGACAGAGCCGCAAGGGACTCGCTCGACTTTATCTTTACGGTGTGCTTGATTGGTGATGTCTACTGTTACTCGTGTTTAGCCTCGAGTTCTTATCAGAGTTTCTTCTCTAAAGCAGTATGCTTCTTGAAGGTAATTCATGGTGTTACTGCGGTAAAGTGACGATTAGATGTTGCCTTCGATGTCGAAATATCTAGTCTAGGTCTAATATGTAATTGTCAAAACGCCTCAAGTCCTATATTAATCCCTCGGCGTTTGATCTACGTGGCAGAAGCCCCTCTGCAGGTATCGTCAATGTGTGTGCAATACCTATAACGAACAAAGCTTTTCCCTAACAGCAATGTATAGGATGGTTGATGTCATCGTGCCATAACGAAATCGTCTGCACAACCAGGCGGAACATAAGCTCGAAAACCGGCCCATGCCCAGGGTAGAACCCAATCCCGTCACGCACAAGATGTTCTTCTTCCGGGCACTGGTCGGAATACATATTAAGAAACGCGTGCACCATCTCGTGTATGAGGGTGTGCAATTGTTGCTGCTTTGAGAGATATCTCCCATCGTAGAGCTTCGCAACTATGATGTGTTGGCGCCCTGGGTTGGCTACATCATGGCTACATACCCCAACGTAACAGAATCTGCGGGTCTTGCATTCTTCTTCAATAGCTAGATCGTGTTGCATTCTGGGCTACGTTAGCCCATCCATAGTCATCCTTCAGGATCACCATCCCCATTTGTGACTCTGTCACATACGTGGCCAATATAAGGCCACGTATCCTTTCCTTTAGTATCTTGGATATATATAGGGCCATTCTGGCCGCTCCAGAATAGCTGGAATTCCTCTCCTTAATAGAACACTTTGAAATCTAACATGGTAGCATCTCTGATCGATCACGACCTCCAGCAGCCCTTACCTTTTAAGCTTTTTCTACTGGTCTGATTCATTCTGATCACCCTTTTTCTGCTTATGCGCCTCTAAGACTAGCTACCTTTGTTGCCGCAAGCCTTCAAGTGTTTCTCCGTCATAACTGTTCTTTTTATACAGAAAGAGGTCGCTCCTTGGCTTATATTTTGCCTTATTTGTAGGCTAGTTTTACAATGTATTATCCTTCTTATATTATGTCTGAATCCACCCTAAAGACGGCCCTCGCCTTTATATCCACCTCTATCCCTCGCCTCCAAGACCATCAGAAGCTCGTCGGCAAGGAGAACTGGGAGGTCTGGGCCCAAATGATGGAGCATTTGCTCACTATTCTCGGGCTCTGGTCTCTTATCCTTGAAGCCATCAAGGCGGACGAGAAGGAACTATATAAGGCCACAACTGGAGCTGTCGACGCCCCAGCCACACCTTCCGCGGGAGCCTCTTCTAAGCCCCCTGAACTGGATGCTAGTCTGAGCATCAAGAGGTCAAAATTATACCTCGCTATCACCCAGAACATCAAGTCTGACCCTGATTCTCGTATCACGGGTTTATTTGACCCTGGTCAGATCTGGATAGCCTTGCGACAGGCATATTCAGGCACGAGAATTGACGCAGTTTCATCCGTTGTAGATGAACTGGCTGCCATTCGATTCCCTGACCATGGAGACAAGTTCGTGGGCAACTATCGCAGACTAATGGACAAGGTCCTGCGGCAAAATATCACATATCCTCTGAATATTCGCATTGCCAATTTTCTGGCTGCTATTCGGACGGCTTTTCCAACCCTTCACCGCGAAATCTCGAAAGATTATAACTGTGGAATCTTCCCTACGACCGAGAATCTTTTGTACCGGCTCCAGGAGGAGATACAAATTCGCAAGGCTCAAGATGAGACCTTTGTCACTAACTTTGGCAAGCCTGTTACGCCTAGTAAAGGCAAGAACAAGTGGAAGAATAAGGAGAAAGGCAGTAATCGCTCATCTCTTGATGGCCCCAGAACCCCTGGAGTCAACCAGAGCTCTTCCAACAGCAACACCACGGATCCTATCTGGTGTTATGAGTGCGGAGAGCTTGACAAGAAGAAGGGCCACCTTGGATGCAACAAACGCATCCTCAGCCAGATCATCCAGGCCTCTGAGAAGGCTAGGAAAGATGGAAGGCCTTCAAGCAGCGCTCCCACTCACCAGAGTGGACGCACTGGCGCTTCTGACGCCGCTCAATGGTGCAATTATGCTGATAAAGCCATCTCCAGTCAATCTGTCCTCACTCAAGGACCACATAGCGCCAACCAGGGAGCGAGTACCAATCTGATCGACATCGTTCATGCCACGACAAGCACAGACTCATGGCTGTTTGACACAGGCTCTACCGTTCCTATTTGTAATAGCAAGAAGTGGTTTACTCGCCTTCGAATGGACCCTGACCTGGTCCCCTTTAACACTGGAGGAGGCCCTGTTACTCCTCAAGGTGTTGGCGACGTGGAGATACCATTCATTACCTCCAACGGTGATACTGTCACTCAGACAATCTCTGGAGTACTATTTGTGCCTTCCTTTCCAATCAACATTCTCTCGGGAGACCAGATGTATCGCCAAGGATGGTATTTGATGATCCGCGATCTGTTTGACCCCCATGGGACATGGGTGGCATCATTCCACCAGGGAATGTACGTTCAGACAGAGATCCCTAGTGTCCAGAAGGACGTATACGGGATCAATCAAGCCCCGGACGTGTTCACCAATATGGTATCCGAGGATTCTTCCCAGGAACTGACCTCTCAAGCCAAATCTGTGGCGCTAAGACTACTCCACCGCTGGCATACAAGACTTGGCCACCAATCTA